AGATATAGATACAAAACAAGAAAAAAGATTTGGCTGGGTTAATCGGAACAAGAGAATACACAGACACAGACAGAGAGGGAAAAGGTCATTGGATAAAAGTTATTCTTGATAACCCTCTAGAAAGATTTCATGAACTTCCCCACTCAATCTATGAAGACCTGAGCAGTTCTATTAGATATAGGATAAGAAACAGAGATAGGGATAAGAAACAGAGATAGGGAGCACAACAAATCCATTGCACTCCTTTGTTTACTTCCGTTACATAACAACATCACTACCTAGCATTCACTCTTTCATTGGCTAGCACTCCAACAAATTGTAAGCGATAGGCTAAGTGGTGGGACAGCTCTAAGCGGTTGACCAATCAAAACCTAGCTGGCCAGCTCAGCAATCAGAGCAGACTGGGCTCTGGTTTCAGACAGAGGGTGAAAAGAGGTGCTTTTTGAACATTAAAGCATGGAAACATGTCACTGTAGAAGCACAAGTTTAAAATACGAGCCTTATAAATGCACATAATAGAGACTCTTGAAGTAAAGTCCTTTTTGTCATGGCCACAGTCAATCATGTGAAGTCTAAAGGCCCGGACACACTAATCTGACAAAGAACTGACACAGACGGACCCCGACTGTTGCGTCGCCTCGCGTCTCTGCGTTTTGGCCATGTTTCGCACTGGAACACACCGCAAAGACTTCGGCCGACGGCCAAGAAGCACGTACGAACTGCGCATGCGTGAGTGGCAATAACTCTCAGCAGGCGGCGGTAGTGTGTATTCGTCATTCAAAAGAGGCAACAACCGGAAGACAGACTGCGTGATAACCGAGAGAAGAAGAACAGACTGCGTGATATAAACAAACAACAAATAGCGTGTGCGTTCCATTTTCACTCATTTTCACTCTACAGGGAGAAGCTCATGGGGCTTTCCCGAACCTGTGTCGAGAGTTGGAGTCTTAATAGTTTGTTTGGGTCCCTCACTTCCGTTTCACTTCTCATGCACTGCTAGCTGAACAGCCAAGTGATTTCTTTTGCCGACTGCCTTTGGCCGACTGTTGAATCGGCGGGTTTTTGGCCGAAAAGGCGTCGGCCCGGCTGAAAAGACCCGACAGTGTGGGACACACCAATCTGAGTAGGGCGTGTCGACGCTCATCGTCGGCCTGACGCCTACAGACGCCCATAATCAGCCGTTTTCGTTAGTCGGACGACGAGGCGTGCCCTGTTGCCCAAACTCAATTTGGTGTGTCCCGCACCGTCGGCCGTGACATGCCTTATTTGGCCTTTCATGGCCGTGCGTCGGCCACAGGCAGTCGGACAAAGAAATCACTCTGATTGGCTGTTCAGCTAGCGAATCAGTGCATGAGAAGCGAAACGGTTGCTTGAGAATGTCTTCCACAAGCAACACTCCAATGGCTGCTAGCTCCAGTACCGCACGAAACACGTTTTCGATGGACGAGAGTGAAAATGGAACGCACACGCTATTTGTTGTTTGTTTATATCACGCAGTCTGTTCTTCTTCTCTGCCTTCCGGTTGTTGCCTCTTTTGAATGACGAATACACACTACCGCCGCCTGCTGGTAAGGAGAGTTATTGCCACTCACGCATGCACAGTTCGTACGTGCTCAGCTGAAGTCTTTGCTGTGTGTTCCAGTGCGACACATGGCGAAGACGCAGGAGAACACGGTAACAGTCGGCGTCGGCGAGTTCTCTGGTGACTGCTTGGTGTGTCAGGGCCTTTAAACGTCATCACAGTCACACCATTGATGTCTGCTGCTGGATTAGATTAGCTTTACAGTAAATGATTAGATCAAGCTATTATTGTGATTGTGTGAGTGGCGAGTCAAGACATGTGAGGGCAAATTGAGGACACATGTTCTTATGTAATAGCAAATTTGTAGGAGGAAGGATAGCCTCTGTTATTGGCAGTGGCGTTTCTAGGTGTACAAAACTGGGGGGGCAGAAAGAGGTCGGGGGAGAGAGAGAGAGAGAGGGGGGGGACAGAGAGAGGGAGGAGAGAGAGGGGGGGGCAGAGAGAGGGGGGGAGGAGAGAGAGAGGGGGAGTGTCAAATTACATACTGAAGACCACAGGAGCAACACTGTGAGCGCATACATTTACGTACACAGCGTGGGGATGTCATAGTAATGCACCTTCATACATGGAGTAAAGGTCACCATCACAAAGTAATTCTTAACAATAACAACAACCGTAATGCTTTAGCATTAAAACACCATAGACTGTAAATATAAGGAAAACACAGACACTCATCATCGAGGTCACAATATCAATCGATCCAGCAGAGGCAAAACACAGAAGATCAACAAAATATATGACATAAATGAACTTACCAAAGCTGAAGGCTCACTTGAAAAGAAAAGCGGCACGGCGGTCCTTCCTCTGACAGAATGTGTCTATCACTTTGGGGATGAAGTCCTGTAGTTGCTGGATCAACTGGCTTTCAATTGAAAGCATGGCCAATGCGTTAAGTCGCGGCTGTCCCCGTGTTGCGAGTGAAAGTCTTTATCCTTTTGAGGGTGGAAAAGTTCCTCTCTGACTCGGATGTCGTCATCGGAGTTGTCACTATTATTTTGACCAAAATAACAGTCTCAGCAAACGTTTCCTCCAAGTTGTTCTCGTGAATGGATTTCAACAGAGACAGGGCAGTGTTTCCAGTGTGAAGCTCACTGTGGCGGTAGAGCGTGGTCAGCTCAGACTTCAACTTCTCCTTGTTTCCCAACGCAGGCCACAGTTTCACGGCGCAGTCAAGCTCAGGTGTAGGAAATGACAGGACATGCTGTGGGAAGAATGAGCTGTCAACAAGCTTTGCAGCAATCAAATGGTCACTCTGTGAGAACCTCTGTTCCACCTGTGAGATGACTGTGTCACAAGCCTCCTTCATCACTGGCGCTGTGCTGCTGACTCGTCGGCCTGGCTCGTCTGTTCCATCATGAGCAGTGGCGGCCAATGCATCAGTTTTCTGCCTCATTTTCTGAACATTTTCCTTGAAACGGCAGAGCGCGCTGTTGATCCCAGGTGCATCGATGCTTCGTTTTTGCAGAGTGTTGTATAGAACATCCACTTCTGGCATAAGCAACGAAAAAAACTCCAGGAGCTGCATAAATGCTCGGTCCCGCAGTTTCTTTGACAGGCTGTATGCCTCACTTATGGTGACCGCATCCCATCCTGGTTGTGCGCGTATATGCTTCATACACTGAAGTAGTGCATCTCGGGTCTCCCAAACCGCGTTCACAGTTCTGCTTTTAAAGTTCCATCTCACAGCCGGTGGCCGTGGGATGCGTCTCTGTGTTGCCTCTGCAAGAGCTGCAACACGTTTTGGAGCACCGGAGAAAAAAGTGGAAAAAGCATTTAGATCTGCAAAAAACACCTTCAGGATGCTCATCCTTGCTGAACACAGTTGCTGCAGGGTCAGGTTCAGTTGGTGGGCGTAGCAGTGAACAAACTGAGCGTTTGGGTACGTCTCCTTCATCACCGTCTGTACCCCGCGCACATTACCGCTCATGACGGCCGCCCCGTCATAGGTCTGAGCGATTAGCTTTTCTTTCAGCTTCAGGGGTTCCAGAACAGCCTTGATGCTGTTAGAGACCTACACCAGTTTTGTCCTTTACTTCCACAAACTCCAAAAAACGCTCTGTAACTGTGAGGTCAGGCATAATGTATCGCAGCACAATCACCATTTGCGATTTACAGGAGACATCGGTTGTCTCGTCGGCCTGAACGGCAACAAATGATGTGTTGTCCACTTGCTTGGCTATTTCCTCCCTGTACACATCATACATGCAGTCCAAGAGTTCATTCTGTATGGTGCTTGATGTCCCTTTGAAAACAAGCTGAGCTTCGTAGTGCCGTTGAAGCCTGGAATCGCCCTCACATTGTCTCGAAAATTGACCTGAATATCCCTGGATTCAGAGAGTCCGCCGACTCGTTGTGGCCCCGCAGTGCTGTTTCACATTTCCCACACAGTTTAATACAGGTGATGATCCGACCAAGCACGTACCTGTTTTCTTCCACCTTCCTATTATGAGAATCAATGCCGCGTCTGTAGGCGCTGTCAATCTGAGCTGCAACATTCACCCTTCCAAGTAATCCCAATTTTACGGCATTTTCCAAATGACTGTTGCTGCTCTCATGCTTCATTGTCCTCTCCGAAACATGCTTTAAGTCCTTGTAACCTGTCCTCGACCAAGTACCTTGATCTTCACCAAAAAGCAGGCAAGGAAAGCAAAAGAGGGAATTATTCTGGATGCTCGCCGTTAGCCATTTCTTTTTAGCAAACCACTCAGCGTTAAACCCACGTTTAACTTTGCCCGCAGTCTGGACCATTTGGAAATCCGGTGGATGGTGGGCACCGAGGCGCTTTACCTCCAGTTTCTCTCCGAGACTAAGTGTCTCAAATGTGTGCTCCAGTAAATGGTCAACTTCATTCATTTTCTTTCAGTTTTTTACTTCTTTTAATCGCTGGTGATGTTAGCTATATGCTGCTCTCTCGTCTCCTCTTCAAACTACACGTGACGTTTCGCAGCACTGCACACGTGAGTACTTACAGCCAATCAATTCTGAATTATGTGAGATGACGTATGGTGGGGATGGGAGCACTATGCCCCTACGGTCATTATTTTTTGCCACACACATTAAATAGAAAAATACTCTGAGCATGCGCAGTGTAGTTTTTACAATCACCGTTCACTTAGACTGTGAGAGGGAGGGGCAGGATCGGGTTTTGTCCCACATGGCTCTAAACAGCTCAAAACGGCACTCTAGACACTAATTAGAAGAACACAGACTAAAACAGAAATGTACACACGAATCAGATTATTAAACATGACCTTAAAATATATTTTATATGTTTTTTTATTTATTTTTTAGTATTTTTTTGTAATCATTATTTGTAATACTTTCTTCTGACACTAGGTGGGGCTGTACCTGCCCCTAATGACCCGCCGCCACTGGTTATTGGCCTTGCTGACAGCTGTGTTGTGTTTTGTGGATCCAGATGTGGAGTTCCTGCGCTCAGTCCTGCCCCCGGCCACAGACCCCGCCTTCTTCCAGTTCCTGCGAGGCCTGGACTGCTCTGGCGTCACACTCCGTGCCATCCCAGAGGGCACTGTGGTGTTTGCGAGGGTGAGCTGCAGCTTTTCAGGGTGCAACTGAAGGTCAAAAGTCAAATACAGGATTCTGGAGGGGGTCAAAGGGAGTAAGTTTTCCCTTATGTCAAAAACATCTGCAGGTGCCTCTGATGGAGGTGGCAGGTCCGCTCGCTGTTGTTCAACTGCTGGAGACTAGTCTATTGTGTCTGGTCAACTACGCCAGGTAAGAACGTCTCTCTAACACATACAGAAAAAACAGTTGCTCCTTTTGAAATAATGTACTGTATATAAAAAATAGTTGAATAGTGAGCTTTACTCGACATATAAATAGTTATCCATTACAAACCTATGTGTGTGTATTTGTAGGGCTGCAAACTGTGAATAGGCGCATTCACACCGCAGTACTTTTCCCACAAAGGTTCATTAGAACTTAGTTCATGAGAACTCTTTAGTTCTCATGAACTAAGTACAGATCGCGTTCACACCGGAATAAGTCCCTGGGGGTGGATTAGGCAAATGAAGCCGCTGACGTCACTTCTTCTGCTTTGGGTTTACTGGCAGGCCGCAAACCACTTCACGGCATATACTGCTGCCCAAAGTCCCCGGCCGGAAGTCCCCGGAGTTGGGGACTGGCTTCAGTAGAAGCTGCTGGGACTCCCAGCAGCTTCTACTGAAGCCTTCCGAGCAGGCCCGGTTCTACGGGGGTGCATACGGGTGCATTGCACCCTCAGTTGAATCGTTATGCACCCTCATTTGAAAAATGAAAAGTGAAAAAAAAAAAAATAGTGAAAAATATTACATGTACAATAATAATAGTAGTAATAATAATAATAAGAAGAATATAGTTGAAATAAAATAAATTGTAATTGTGGTTGAATAACATTGTCTGCCGCATTTATTTGGTCAATTTAAACGGTAAGTAACGTTATTATGTCAGGTGTTTGTGACGTGTGCCGCTGCGCGTTCGTCATCTGCAAGGTGCTTACACAGCAGTCAATGATGGAACTCAGAAAATGGTTAAAACAACCAGCCCTTATCTTCAGCAGTAACACTGCATCTACTACAGGTAATAATAGTTCAGATCATGGGGACATTAAGTTACCCGCGGCCACTGTCGTGGACACTAACGCCCGACTTGCCGGCTTTGCCCGCCTCGCCCACGGAGGAGGAGCAGCCGTCTTCGTTGCCCCAAACACCGACACCCCTCAGTGGCCCACAAGTGCCAGAGGACCTCGGCCAAACAGAGCCTGCCCAGGTATATTTAAAAAAGTACCCAACTCGCCTGTACAGTGGGGTAAGGCGCTCATTTTGCAGCTCATGGTTTCAAAACAGAGATTGGCTGGAATATTCATGTAAAAAAGATGCCATCTTCTGCTATGCATGTAGACATTTCGGTTCAAGTAAGTCAGATGCCTTCACCACAACTGGCTACTACAACTGGCGCCATGCTCTTATAGGCTACGTGATAAGGGACTGGGAAGGCATGCATCAAGCAAAGAGCACATAGATCCATAGATCTCTTCATTTTGTTCTCAAAGTGCACCAGATTGATGCTTTTAACTTCAATATTTAAAAAAAAAATCTTCCCGGGGGAGCATGCCCCCGGACCCCCCGAGAGGAGGTGAGGACCCCCCTAGAGGAGGTGAGGACCCCCCAGAGGATGTTAGGTCCACTCAAAATAGCACTTTACCACTGCTCCCTCTCTAATCTCAGATGCACCCTGAGTCATTTTGTTCTGGAAACGGGCCTGCTTCCGAGTAAATCGCCAGAACGCCGACACCTCCTCATCTCCACCGCTCCCATGTTTTATTTTGTGTTGCCATAAGTTAGTCTCTCTGCGTTTCTGCGCTGGGCTAATGCTAATGCTAATAATGCTAATGCGAGGATAATAAAATGGCGGCTTCACAAAACTTTTTGGGAGTTTTACGGGGCGTGGTTTGCAATCCGCCCAGCCAATCAGAAATATAGCTCTTTTCTCACAAGAGAGCCGCACGAAAGTCCCTGCTCTCTAGCAGGGACTTTCGTGGGGGTAAAAAGGTTCTCATGAACTAATTTTAGTACCGGCTCTTTTTGGTGTGAACGCGACAAAAGAGTTCTCATGAACTAAGTTCTCATGAACCTTTGTGGGAAAAGTACTGCGGTGTGAATGCGCCTAATTACTCAAAATATTTTCTAATCCATGGGGTGTCAAACTCATTTTAGCTCATGTGCCAAATCCTAACCAATTAGAATTCAGGTGGGAAAGACCAGTTAACCATTTTTTTATATAAACCTAGAATTAACAACACCACAAAATGTGTCTTTTATTTTGTAAGAAGTAGTTTAAGTACATTCTCTAAACGTTCACAATTAATAACCAATTAAAAAAAATGTTGATTGAACCAAATGGAAAATATATATATATCTGATACCGTTATCAAATGTTTTAATTTTCTACGAGTTAAACAATTCTATAGGATTGTTAGACTTTAAATGAATAGGGACATTAATTGTTTTATAACATTTACTCAAACTGAAGACAGAGGCATATGTATAGCATTTACACACTAAAATGAATCATATTAAAAGGAAAGTCGGTGAAGTTAAAGTGAAGCTGTTCTGTATTTCATGCTGGCTCCACCATGACACTTAAAGCAGCCTGTCTCTGCTCTGCCTGCTCTCTGTTGTCAGTCTGGTGTGCAGCAACGCGGCACGTTTCCGCCTGGCGGCCGGCCCCAAGAGGAAGCTGTTGGAACTGGGCCTCAGGAGGGCCCAGGGACCAGATGGAGGGCTCACCGCCTCACGATACACACACATTGGAGGTAGTGGTCTAAACAAATATCGATGCACTTAAGAATCGCTGTATTGATTGTGTTGCGGAAAGATGCTTAACGCAATGAGAAATGCAAATCCCACGGTTCACATTAGATAAAAAAGGTCCACTTATTATATAGTATGCTATTTTTGCATTTACTCGACAGAAGACAGTGTAAAGTTGTTTTAAAAAGCAACATTTTGAACATTTTTCTTATAGTACTGCAATATATCTAATCCTAATTCCCCTCTCATGATACATATCATATTGCCATATTCTTGTCTTTACTCAGCCCCAATTGTAGTATAGTAAATGTGGTATAGCCTGTCAAGCATGTCCTATTATAAATACTGTATGTCCAGGCCTTTTCCTCTGGGATGAATTACAGAAATGTACTGTCCTCATCAAAACATAGGTAGATGTAGGTGTTCTTACTGAGAGTAAGCACATGGGCCTGGATCTAATTAAAGAGTCTTCATCAGCCCCAGGAGCTGGGATCTTTTCAAAAGTATGATGCAACTTCACCTTCATTATCACTGCAGGAATTTATAAGAATGTGTCACAGTGTTTCTTCAAGTTATGAGTATGTCCTCATACTTGTGGTTACAAGAGCCAACACACATGACTCAGAAAGGAGATGACTTGCAGGATTGTTTTTCATCTAAATGTTCCATAATTAGCTTAATGTGTAACCTCAGGCCTGAATGTGTTCTGAATTTGCCTCTTGATGCTGTTTACAGACCAACAGACTGACAGGTCTTTTTTTCAGGGTTTGATTTCACCAGTAACGTTCAGGCTGGTTTCCAGTATGGGGTCCCAGTTGCAGGGACCATGGCACACTCCTACGTCACGTCCTTTACCTCCCTGGAGGAAGTCTTGCCAAAAGTGAGTATGTGTTCTCTCTTCCAATCATCATCAAGGACCATACCAGGAGGTTTGTAGGTTCATCCATTCCAGGAAAGGTTTGTCCACAGAGAGCAAAAAGCTGTCTACTATACATACATTGTAGGTGGTGTAATATGCACCTTATATATATATATATATATATATATATAATTATAATTAAAAAGTTTGTCTCTGGCATATTGTTTATTAGTCATCATTTAATTTACAATACTTAAAAAACAGCTGTAAAAGTGGCAGTGTGTAGGGTTAAGTGGCATCTTGACTCTGGGGTTGCGTTCCGATAATCCAAAAATCAGCTCCTAACGTCTAACCCTATCTCCTATTCCTTGACCTCTGAGTGAAACGTCACGGGGTTAAGGGATAGTGGATAGGAGAATTCAAAAGGACTTAGGAGAAGAGACTATGGTACTTTAGAGAATCCGAATGCACTTTCACTATCCGACATGTTTATGATGCGCCAGCGGACGTCATGAATGTGCGTCTGCTGCTGTGGGGAAACTATGGAAACTACAGTTTTCTATACAGCGGACTACAACATGGATGTTTAATAAGAACGAGGGACTACTGTAAACTCATCTAGAGACTCTGCACCGTGCTCTGATGCTGCTGCTTTGCTTTATGAACGTGGACAACAGAGAAACATATTCTTCATGACCAAAGTTGGAATTGAAATAAAAAAGTAAAGTGAAACTTATGCTCGTCACCCTCTCCCTCCGGTCCACATTAATACAAATGTTCCCAATACGTATGATTGTATGAAAATATCTTAAAATCAATACAAATGTATTTATTATAAACGTTAGTCCTTAACATCTATCACTGTGTATATCACCATTCAAACATCTTTTAAAAGTTGAACAAACCCCACACAGCTCAGTAAAGACTGTGAGATGTTGACTTTATTTGATCATTTCAGTAAAAACTAACGTTCATATTTCTCTTTTTGATTATAATACTGATGAACGTTCAGAACAAAGCACTTTGGCAACTTACCACATACGTTTTAAAATGCTTAATAAGCACCGTAACTTTCATGATATAATTTCTCGGTCATAATCAGTTGTTTCCGTGAACGGCCGACTGTTGAGTGACGGCAAATGCTGCGGCTGCAATGCATTGTGGGACAGCATTTTCTCCTCTCCTTTCGGTAAGGGAGGTCCAGTGGTTCCTAAGCTAAAGGAGGTTATAAACAGGGCTGCACATAACTGGTGCGCATGCGCACCTCCGCCAAAAAAAGAGCACCGGGTCATTTGAAAAAAGGCGCATTTGTGTACCAACATTGAGAGAGAGAGAGGAGAGAGAGAAGGGAAAAGAGAGAAGAGAGAAGAGAGAAGAGGGAAAGATATTTGCGAGTTGCATATGAACTCAGGGCCGGCCCGTAGCCCTGGCGTTATAGATGTTCGCCTAGGGCGCCAGATCTGTGGAGGCGCTGCGCTGGCAGCTCTGGGAGGGAAAAAAACATTTTTGACCGTTGGGGCTCATCCTAATTTTCGGCCTTGATGTAACAATATTCATAATTAAGTAAATGTAACACCCTTTTCACCCCGGTTACACGTTTTATTTGCCCTGTAAGTGATGAAAATGGGGGATGTTGGCTTATCTGGCACCCGCAGCTCACAGCCAAAGTGCGAGTGAGTGTGGGAGAGAGGGATGGTGCACCGGTTCCGGCGCTGTTGTTATTAGTATCTGGTGCTAGCTGTTCTAACGGATAACAGAAGAAGATGTTTCTACAATAATGTGGAGGGAGAGTCCTCTCCAGTCAGACTGAGAGGCTGATAACTACAGCTCAGTGAGGTAAGGACTAAGTTATCTCAGTGGGTCTCAAACGTTTTGATCACAATTTATGTAAACACATATTTCCAAGGCACTCCTTTATAATTATTGGGATAAACAGGTTTGAAATCATTCCAATGTATACTATAGGACAGTAAACCAAAAATATCTTTTAAAACTGGAAAGATAAAAAAAAAATGCATAAATAAATAAATAAATGTTAAGGTAAAATAAGATATGAATGAACAACACAAATAAAATAAGTTACATTCATTTGTTATTGGCTATGGTAGGTTATTGGTTATGTTCACATACTTATTTGATTACATCCACTTGTCTAAGATGACAACAGAGACTTTCGACCCAAAACCAGCTGTTGACTTGTGGATGCAAGCAGCTAATCGCAGACTCAACCAGAGAGAAAGTAGTAGGCCTACATCATCAGCTACCATGTCTGACAGTGAGGAGAACAGTCAGGAGGGTAGTGATGACAGCTTGTAGGATTACTGGTCGTGCTAATGTTGTCTTGTGTTCACCTCTGCATGTGTGTTCTGTGTTCACCTCTGCATGTGTGTTTAGTGCCGTGTGTCTGGCAAATAATGTCAAAACCCCCTCAAAAGTTACGGTTTATTTCATTTTAAGGATGAGCACCAAGCAACATCTCCAGGTGCTCCTTTGAGAACCAGGGCAAAAAAGTGATGTGCACCCCTGGTTATAAAGGAAGTTTGAAACCTCCTTTTCTTTCATTTAGAGAATTGGAACGGCACTTATCATGGCTGCCACTGAGGGACTTCCGGGTCATTTAACTTGGTTAGGAAGGTTCCTAAGCTAAATGGACTATTGGAACGCAACCCGGGGCTGATCAGTGAGGCTGCAGTACCTCTGATGGCCACATGAGGCTGACTCCCAAAAGGAGTCAATCTCCATATATCCCCATTATAAAAGCCCAACTTTATGGCAGACATAAACTTGTTTAAAGACACGTACAAAAAACTGGTTTCCAAATTAATAACAATTCTCCCCTTCCTGCCAATTTTATGGGGGGTGAATTTTTATTCAGGTAACATAAAAACACAAATGGTTCCCTAAATCCTACACACTCAACCTTTTTAAATAAAGACAAAAACAATCACACATTTAAAATTACACTAATTTATGATTTGAAAACTCTTTAAATTATGAAGAAATTACATATATTGGAAGAAACATAACATTTTATCACAGTGGCAAGCTGTTAAATCTTGATGATGCATCATGCTATGATTGGTCTCCAAGGGAAGTCAACAGTGAAAAGGCCTGCATATATCAATATTCAAATGTCCTTGTCTCATGTTTCGTCTCAGACTCTTGTGGCGGTGAACGGGGACTCCACTCCAGTGGACATAATTTTGTTGACAAAGGGCTGGTTGAGTCGTGTGTGTGAGCTCCTGGGATCGCAGCCTGGGAAGATCCACGAGGGCGAGTTGGCGGCCTTTTTGTCCTACGCCATCGCCTACCCTCAGAACTTCCTCCCTGTGATTGACAGCTTCAGCGTCAGCTGGTAACTAGACATGTTACTTTTGATACTAGAGAGATATGTATGAAGGCTTTTATCGTTTGATTTCTGACAAACAGCATATACTTTTCTGTAGGTTTACATAGTAATTGAGTATAGACCTTTGTCCTATGAGCACTTTTATTGCCTGTACCTTTGATTCATCTAGGCCACATGTGTCAAACTCAAGGCCCGGGGGCCAAATCAGGCCCGTGGTGGATTTAATTTCGGCCCGCAGGATAATTTTTAATTACTATTACATCTGGCCCGCCGGTATATTGCACGCACACCTTCACTCAATCCTGAGGATTTCCTCAGCTCAGAGCCTGAGCCCAAACATTGATGAACTTGCACTTTGAATCGCCACGTGCTGAAAAGTGCTATATAAATAAAATTGCCTTGCCCTTGCACCCAAGATGAGATGCCAAGTATCTGGCTTGAACTAGCATCAGAGCAGCAAACTGACTTTCAATGGATGTTTCCTTTTGCACTTTTTTCTTGCGACAACAGGGCATGTTTGGTTTTTTCTTTGAGGGAAATAATTTTTTTGAAGCTGTTGTTGGCCTGTGAAAAAATGTAATCATAAAAAATGACTCCGGAAAAGCTGCAGATAGAGCCATAAGAAATTAATGCAACTGATTATTTAATATTTAATGTTGTTTTTATAGGCAATAATTTAAGCTTTGTTAGTTCCAGGTTTAATATGGGCAATAAGTTCATTTCAATAAGTTCTGCAATAAACATTGAACCAGTCCGGCCCTCGACTATTACCGATTTTTTAATTTTGGCCCACTGTGTATTTGAGTTTGACACCCCTGATCAAGGCCATCTTTGTCTTCCTGTCATTTAATAAAAAAAGTCTTTCTTTCAAAGTCCAAAGAAATTCACAGTTTCTATTTGTTGCACAATTGTGGATAATAATTCTAAATGCAGGTTTTTTTACTCCAATGGTGTATTTTACATTGTGATAATGGTTATTTTACTTCTAAAGGATCAGAGTACTTCTGATGTTTTGAGTTGAAAACAATATAATTACAATAACATATCTGGCCTTGAACTAAAAACAATTTGAGGTAATACTATATCAGAAACAACCCAGTCTCACGGCATTTCTTGTAATAGTCACAAAATTAATTTAATCTATTGATTCGTGTTCACCAACACGATTTTCCCCTTTCTTTCGTGTCACACAGAATGATTTTAAAGCAATGTATTTCTATTGGTAGTATGTTTCGTGCCTGCAACACGTCTTTTTGTCCGGTCGGGTGTGGTTCATAAAAACATTTTCTTACTCAATATCAAGCCACGATTATTATTTTTTTTTTAAAAATGGTATAATGTCGGACTTTTTTTGCCGTCCGTGAGGAAAATAAATGGGGCTCAGAGCCTCAGTATACTGAAATCTGTATTTTTTCAAATCTTTTTCTCTTTATAATTTGTTATTATTTACATTGTTTTTAAAATTGTGACTTGAAAAAAATTGGGAAATCGTGTTGGTGAACACGAATCAATAGATTAAAGGTAGGGTATTTACGTTTGAGAAACCGGCTCGAGATCGCTAGAATTTGAAAATATTCGACCGGAGAAAATCTGCTACTTCCTTATAGAGCCCCTCCTCCAACACACACAAACGCACACATGACCAATGAGGGCACGAGATAAGTTTGTGCACAGATTGAAGGCTGACAGGCAGGTAGGCCATCCAGTTATTTTAGCCGGGCGGGAGATTTTTCTTTTTCCATTTTTTCTTCTTCTTGGGTATAGTGACGTAACGGCTTCCTCACACACACACACTCACTCAGCCTAATCTTTTCTCAGCTGCAGCTCCACGGATTTCTCAGCCTGAACTCAGCCTGAGACAGCGAGACACAGCGAAACTCAGCCTGAACTCAGTCTGAGCACACACACAAACTCACAGCCAGGCTACGAGTGTGTGTGTGCTCAGGCTGAGTTCAGGCTGAGTTTCGCTGTGTCTCGTTGTCTCGCAGATCCCACGCAGCAACCAGGAAACAACACCAGTAAGCCAGCTCACACTGTCCGCTCCAGCAGCGAGCCCCGCGACGTCCCGCCAACATGGCACCTAGACCCCACGCAGCATTCTCATCTGTTTGTCATTACTGGGGTCATTTTCTGGTTGCTAACAAACGCCATTGTAACACATAAACACTGATGTTCCGCTGTAACGGTGGTGGACTCATCAGAACAGAGTGGGCGAGCTGACCAATCAGAGCACAGTGGGCTCATAGGGAGGGGGGGGGGGGGGGGCAGGAGCTCCGACAAGCCATGTAGGACAGAGAGTGAATACACATACTATACAGAGATGCTGTATGAGAAACCAATGTGATTTTGGAACAATGTAAATCTATTCTAGTAGACCTCAACAATGGAATTATGATCAATAGAAATGGCCATGACATGTGACCTTTAAGTGCTTGTTTTACCAGCAGGTGTCACTAGTGTCAAATCAGCTTTGCCCTAATGAATCAGTTATTAATATATTTTGGTAGTAATCATTTAACTATCTCTAATTGTGACAGCTCTGATGCTCAAAGATACACAATGCAAAATTCCAGCTAGTGCTGCTATCCTTTGTATACAAATAAATAAATAACTGAATTGAAAATGTTAATAAATCAGAATTTCCCAGAAACCCTACTCATTTTATATTTCATGCTCATGTGATGAAATGTGTGTGTGTGTATCTGATTTCAGCAGTGGTCTGTTGAACTTCTGTGCTGTGGCCTTGGCGTTGTGTGAGTTGGACTACAAACCGCTCGGAGTCCGTCTGGACAGCGGAGATCTCTGCAGGCAGTCGCTGGAAGTCCGCCGTGTGTTCAGACTCTGCAGCAAGCAGTGAGTGAGGGGCCATGCCGAATGTGTGCATCTTTAAAACCTTGAATGGAATTAAACCTGATGTCTGCTTGTCTGTTGCTCCTTCAGTTTCTCCGTCTCTGCCTTCGACTCTCTGACTATCGTCGGGACCAACAACATCACAGAGCAGAGCATGGCGGAGCTCAACGAGAAGGTAGGTTAACTGAACATGTGGATTGATTATGATGAACAAGCAGGGTTTTTCTTTCCCTTCCCCTGATGTTTTGTGTAACATTGTTTCAGGAGAATGAGATCGATGTGGTTGGTGTTGGAACACATCTGGTCACCTGCACACAACAACCCTCGCTGGGCTGTGTGTACAAGGTAATGCTTTTTTAATGTTTTATATGTTTGTATGTGCAATAATGGGGTGCCTTTTTTAATTTTCAGTGTACCTCATTTATATGGGAAAGGTCTCCTATTATGCAAAATGCAATTTTGTCTTTTTTACATAAATATGTGTCCCCGCTCTTTTCTTCCGTACCCAAATCTCTAAAATTGGGGGTACAACGAAGCGGATCCAGATTTGCTGCCGATATGACGTAATATTGGAAATGTGCCGGGGCTGGCTTTACGCCCACGGCCCTATCAGAAACGTCGCTATCAGAAACAATGTGTTTTGGAAATAATATGGTCTTTGTTTACATCAGCACATTTTGAACATGATATGGGGTTTAATCACGGCAGCATTTAGCTGAGTATCTGGGTAGAATTCTCCTGCATAAGCTCCCCCTCTTTTTTTTTTTTTTAAAGCTACGGACCAGTGGCGGCTGGTGCATTTTTCTCAAGGGGGGGCTCTACCAAAATTCAAGCAAACTTATACACAAACTCAAAACATATGTCATATAACTGAGTTAAATGGGGTTATCTTCTGAAACTGATTCTTGTATTTTCTAGTTGGCCTCGTGTGAAATTCACTGTCACACCCATGTTTTATTTCAAGGCATGATAAGGGAACTGGAAGTCCCCAGGTGGAGGCCTAGTTGAAACATTTGGTCCTCATTACACATATCACTCATTGTCAATCCCCAGAAATATGCCTGTGTGGCAGAGCCAGAGTGTGAGTGTCGCATGTCAGCCTGCGTAAGATTGTGACGCCTGATGTAAAAGAGCATGTGAGGGCTGTCATGTGACTGACACCTTCAACCTGACACCCCGCAGGAGGAGCTGTGTCACACACATTTTACAGTTTTTACAGAATATGAATACAACACCCTCTGTCCTTAGACCCTCACAACGGACAAGGAAAAACTTCCAAAGAAAAGTTAACGGGGGAAATGGAAGAAACCTTGGGGAGAGCAACGGAGGAGGGATCCCTCTCCCAGGACAGACATGCAATAGATGTTGTGTATAAATTAAAAAGATAATACATCCAAATGCTTGAAAAATGCATACAGTATATAAGAAGAAGATGGATCCAGGGGGATGTCAACAATCCTCTGGGTGCCATTAAAGAGGTAGTAAGGTGAGCATCAGGCAGGACCACAGCAACAGGCACAGTTATCAAGGTTGATTTATTTGTATAGCACATTTTAAGACACGGAGGCAATTCAAAGTTATTCACATAGGCATTCAACACATAGTAATCAAAAACAAACCAACACAATATCGAAAAAGAAAATTCATAAAAGCGATAGAATACTGGCTGAAACTAAAAGTGCAATGATAAGGCACGGTTAAAGGATCTCAGGATAGGCTGCATTAAAATAAAGGTTTTAACCTTGATTTAAAAGAACCCAGTGCCTGTCCCCTTAGAAATACCTTACCCTTTTTGAACAACAACAAAACAGCAAACATTACATATTTTCACATATTACACAGTTCATTCATTTCTTCAGCGTGGAACTGTAGATGCAGGGCAAGAACTTCTTAAACCAGTTGCTTCTTCTCTCCTTTCTGGTGACCTGGCTCTCCAAACCTTCCAGCCGAGCGTTCAGGGAGCTCTGCGTCTCCTTCCACTCATCCTCCTTCTCCTGAAGACTCTGCTGGAGGTGTCCTTCCTCCTGAAGGAGCGTGGACTTCTCCTCCTGCCACTGCCGATCCAGATTCGGCCTCATCCTTTCTTCAACCTGAAGAAGACCTGATTTCTTCATGTCTTCTGCAGCAGGGAGGTTCTCTCCTGCTGCCAGAGGAAGCACTCCCTCTCCACCTGATCTTCAAAGGTTTTCTGAAGAGCAGCCATCAGGCTCTTGCTTTTCTTCTCCTGCATCTCCACCTGGGTGACATGGAGGCTCTGGGATTTCTGCTGTACAGTGAGGGCAGTCTTCTCCACCTTCCACTCCTTCTCCTTCTCCTGCAGAATCTGCTTGAGGCTTTTTTTCCTCCCGAAGAAGCGTTGACTTCTCCTCCTGCCACTGCCGATCCAGATTCTGATTCATCCTTTCTTTGACCTGGAGCAGGGTTGACTTCAACCTCTGCCACTCCTGCTCTCTTTTCTTCAGATCCTTTATTTCGGTGTCTGTCTTGATGCGGTTGCTCTCCAGCTGCTGCTCTGCCTCCTTCAGAGCAGCCGATAGTTTGGTGTTTGCCTGTTTCTCTTCTTGGAGCTGGGCAGCATATTCAGCATTCAGACATTCAGAAAAGTTAAACTCGCTCTGAACCAACTGGTGTCTGAGTGAAACTGTCTGGAACTGTCTGCCTTTGAGTATATATTTATAAAATTAAAGTATTCTTTAATGACAATCTAGAATGTGGGAAGAGGTGGGGCGGCGCCCCTAGCACTGATTTATTTTATGTTAACATTTGTATGATGCCATTTTATTGTCTGTACGTTAGCTGGTGGAGGTGAGGGCTAGTCCCAGGATGAAGATTAGCGAGGACCCAGAGAAGAGCACTGTCCCTGGGAGGAAAGCTGTCTACAGGCTGATAGATGCTGAGGGTGAGGACTCATCCACCCACTTATTTCTCTGAGCATTCTAACCATCCTACGGCAGGGCAATTTCATTAACGGGGCTCTTCATGCTGACAAGATGTGGTTGATACCATAACACGATCATGTAGCCCTCTGAGGGCTCTAGTTGTATTTGGTTTTTGCAATCTTGACCATCAATAATGATTATATTTTTTCTTGATTGTTTATTATACTTTGAGAAAATAATCTTAGCAGCTCTCTTTCCTCCCTTGCAGGCCATGCTTTTCTGGACCTGGTGTGTCTGGTAGCGGAGGCTCCTCCTGAGGCAGGGGTCTCTCTGAGCTGTTACCCTCTGAGCTGCGACACGTCCTGTGTGTCAGTCATTCCCGCTCAGGTCATCTGTCTGCGCCAGGACATGTTCACCAAAGGACGGGTGAGGATGCTCAAAGTCTGAAATCCTTACAACATAACTGACATTTATTTTATATATATATATATATATATACAGTGGAGCAAAAAAGTATTTAGTCAGCCACCAATTGTGCAAGTTCTCCCACTTAAAAAGATGAGAGAGGCCTGTAATTTTCATCCTAGGTATACCTCAACTATGAGAGACAAAATGAGGAAAAAAATCCAGAAAATCACATTGTCTGATTTTTAAAGAATTGATTTGCAAATTATGGTGGAAAATAAGTATTTGGTCAATAACAAAAGTTCATCTCAATACTTTGTTATATACCCTTTGTTGGCAATGACAGAGGTCAAACGTTTTCTGTAAGTCTTCACAAGGTTTTCACACACTGTTGCTGGTATTTTGGCCCATTCCTCCATGCAGATCTCCTCTAGAGCAGTGATGTTTTGGGGCTGTCGCTGGGCAACACAGACTTTCAACTCCCTCCAAAGATTTTCGATGGGGTTGAGATCTGGAGACTGGCTAGGCCACTCCAGGACCTTGAAATGCTTCTTACGAAGCCACTCCTTCGTTGCCCGGGCGGTGTGTTTGGGATCATTGTCATGCTGAAAGACCCAGCCACGTTTCATCTCCAATGCCCTTGCTGATGGAAGGAGGTTGTCACTCAAAATCTCACGATACATGGCCCCATTCATTCTTTCCTTTACACGGATCAGTCGTCCTGGTCCCTTTGCAGAAAAACAGCCCCAAAGCATGATGTTTCCACCCCCATGTTTCACAGTAGGTATGGTGTTCTTTGGATGCAACTCAGCATTCTTTCTCCTCCAAACATGTCTAGTTGAGTTTTTACCAAAAAGTTCTATTTTGGTTTCATCTGACCATATGACATTCTCCCAATCCTCTTCTGGATCATCTAAATGCTCTCTAGCAAACTTCAGACGGGCCTGGACATGTACTGGCTTAAGCAGGGTGACACGTCTGGCACTGCAGGATTTGAGTCCCTGGCGGCGTAGTGTGTTACTGATGGTAGCCTTTGTTACTTTGGTCCCAGCTCTCTGCAGGTCATTGACTAGGTCCCCCCGTGTGGTTCTGGGATTTTTGCTCACCGTTCTTGTGATCATTTTGACCCCACGGGGTGAGATCTTGCGTGAAGCCCCAGATCGAGGGAGATTATCAGTGGTCTTGTATGTCTTCCATTTTCTAATAATTGCTCCCACAGTTTATTTCTTCACACCAAGCTGATTACCTATTGCAGATTCAGTCTTCCCAGCCTGGTGCAGGTTTACAATTTTGTTTCTGGTGTCCTTTGACAGCTCTTTGGTCTTGGCCATAGTGGAGTTTGGAGTGTGACTGTTTGAGGTTGTGGACAGGTGTCTTTTATACTGATAACGAGTTCAAACAAGTGCCATTAATACAGTTAACAAGTGGAGGACAGAGGAGGCTCTTAAAGAAGAAGTTACAGGTCTGTGAGAGCCAGAAATCTTGTTTGTTTGTAGGTGACCAAATACTTATTTTACCGAGGAATTTACCAATTAATTCATTAAAAATCCTACAATGTAATTTCCTGGATTCTTAACCCCCATTCTGTCTCTCATAGTTGAAGTGTACCTAGGATGAAAATTACAGGCCTCTCATTTTTTTAAGTGGGAGAACTTGAACAATTTGTGGCTGACTAAATACTTGTTTGCCCCACTATATATATATATATATATATATATATACTGTTTCAGGATTATTTTGGTTGTTGTTCTTTCTTTCTCATCATCACATCCATATTGCTATTCATTTTTTGTGTTGAGTTCTACACCAGAGGTGGACGAGGAGTCTGTATACACAGAGCATTAGCTCCATTGTGGACTTATTTCAGTAGTAAGAAGTATCTTGTTGCGAGACCAAACATGTTTTTATCATGTTTTGGGACCTTGAAGTCTTAAAGGGGCCTGTTTGCATAGTGAGGAATTGTACTTTTGATACTTTAACTACATTGCGTTGGTAAGAATGGTTTTAATTCACTACAAGTACTGCAAATAATTACAATTTTGAGGTCCTTCCACTTTCCTTGAGTAGTTTCGATTTATGCAACGATATACTCTTACTCCATTACATTTTAGAAACCAACTTTTACTTTACTTATTTGACAGATACACATTATTATCTAAAACAAAACATAAACCCCTAATAAAATGGTTAATAAATATCCAGCAGCAGTTTATGAAGCAAGTCAAATTAGCTCTAACATTACCAACTGTGAGGAACACATTAATCCATCAATAATAATAATGCAGTACTTTAATATACGATATATGATGGGCCATTTTCCATAATGACTACTTTAAGATAAAGATATGTTGCTTATACTTTTACTTAAGTAAGATTGACTTGTCACAGAGTATTTAAAAAATATGTTATAGGTATGTTTACTCAATTAAAAGACCTGAGTACCCTTTCCATCACTGGTGCTGAAGGATCTGATAACTTCTCTCACTGCTTGATATACTGATGTATTGGACAGCTGAGCCCCTCTGGACTTCATGGGGATGACACACCCAAAAAGTGGGCGATTTGTATTCTTCCCCGTCTGTCTTTCTCTCTATGCTTAACCACATCAGAGAGCCGCCAGTTTTGGGACATTTTATTAGGTTTTTAGAGAGGTACTGTGGGAAAGTCATAAAAGGGCACATACACAGTCATGCACTTGATTAAAAACAATCAAAGGAATAGGCATCTCAAACTAAGAGAAAGCACAGGTAATAAAATGACATCAATGACATATATTATACTCCCTTACAAACATTCATTGTTAAAAATAGAGATTTGATAACTATTTGATATGATAAAGTATGTTTTAGAAGGCATTGAACAGCACAAAACAAGATGATATTTTTGCGTAGGAGTTAAGTCTTCATGAATGTGTCTCCCACTCTTTAGGTCACACAGCCTCTGTGCAGCGCTACAGAAACTAGAGCAAAGGTCCAGAGCTCCCTCCAGACTCTGCACCCTCGACACAAGAGGCTGCAGGAGCCAGACTCTTACACAGTGAGCTTCACACACTGAGAACAATCTTTCTCAGACCTCCTCACAGATACAGAATGCTAAATAAGTCCTATCTTATCTTTGGCTTTCTCTCCCTCCAGGTGGCGCTGTCAGAGAAGCTCCATACCCTGGTCACAGAGATCCGAGAAGGAAGCTCCAACAACAGCAACTTTCTGTTAGCCAACTAAGAAGACAACTGCTTTGTTTTCATCTCCTGTTGTTATTCTAAACATTCTTTTTCCAAAGTAACTGAAATTAAAATTGATTAAATTGATGGATAATGAAACTGTTGGGAACCGTCAGTCACACATGCTGTTAACACATCAATGTGGATAACATTATAAGCTAATGGTCTTTGACCTATTATCCCCCGATATATTTATGGTTTGAGTCTGGGATAAACATTTAAATAAAGAAGTCTCACTGTTAAAAATGTTAAGAAAAATGAACGTGCTAATTATCTCAAATTGATCAAAAAACTAACCTAAATATATTCCTAAAAAAGGTTTATTCACATCAATAATAAGAGTTGAACATTCTTAACCTAAAAAATAAATCTTTAGAAGAAGATGAAGAAGATTCAACTTATTGTCATTACGTGGTACAGGTACTATGTAACGAAATGATTTCTCTGCATTTGACCCATCCTAGTGTTAGGAGCAGTGGGCTGCCATTATGTACGGCGCCCGGGGACTTTATTTACCTCTGGATAAAGGTAGTACATTTGCTGTCATCCATCAGTTATTGCTGTGAACATTGGGAGTAAAAAGTGCCCATATTTAAAATGTTGAATGAGTTGCAGGACAAAAAATATAGATATTTTATTTACTCGTGAAGTAACTCTTGAACCATGTATGTGAACCAAGAAAGAAACTACAGATTGACCCTTTAATATACAAAATGTTATAGTTAGCAGGCGCAGTATACAAGTCAAACAGTATTTGTATACTGTCTTAAATTTCTCAGACAAATCTTGTACTTTTCATTTTTATTACCTTGTCAAAATGTGTCTGGGGATCATCTATTTAACCTAACGTTCGATATAATCATCAAACAACTATATTGCAGCATCCAGGGGAAATAAAGTTACTTTTCTCAGGACTTGGTGGGAACCAAAATAAGTAAAAGAAGATTAAAAGCTGCACATATATTCATCGGGTTGACAAAAACACAACTGCAATGCGATGTTAAAGTTGCTGTTCTGTAAATAGCATAGGTAAATACGCAGTTTGCTAACACAAGTACCAGAACCACCTTATAATATGTCAGTGCTATGTTTTTCAGCTTTTGTATGCCCTCTAGTGACTACAAAAAGTATTAATGCAACTTTACCTTCTGACAATATTTTGTATTATTATTTTAATACCAAATCAAACAAAACTTATATGTGTATTTTTGTTTCATACATCATTTTTATTAAAGCCACTAAGTATAGAATTGTATCTTGGTCTGTAAATATCTGTGCAAACTATTTGGGATTAAAGAAAGATGTATGAAGATTGAATTTAATTTTTTTTTTACTCACTACTTGAAAAAAACACATTTTACCTGCATTTCTTCATACCATTTTTTTTAACCGGAATATCTCCGTAGAAACATTTCTACCATCACATGTTATTTCCACAGATAATGGTTTTGAACTTTATTCCTCACATATACCTTGGCTTGACCCTAAACGGTTATTTGTTAAACAAATTATTTCCTCTGTTTTCCCGAGATAACATGTTCAATTTATGACATCATTAATTTGAGATCACAAGATGTTTTTTTAATTAAAGGTAATATGGCTCGGTCTTGATTTTGGTAAAGCAAGATTTGTAATGTTGTGAAAATTACATAAATATATTGTGATCGCCAAAAAAAACAAGTCGTGAATGAGAAATTGCAAAATAGTGCTTCCATACAGTGAGTCAACATTGTTGCAGTTCCTTGGGGCTCATGGGGTGAAGAGACACAATCGTCTTCATCCTCTCTGAAAACTGTTTTCTACATTTCTCTCCAGAAGATATGAGAAGTATTTCCTTGAACTCTGATTGGTTGCTGCTGCTGACAAGTGCCAGCAGGCACACAGACACACACCCAGCAGACATGTGGAGCCGATTAGACAGGCTCTGCCGTCATCTGTCTCATCTCACTGAGGGTGATGACACTCACACAGCCCACACTCACAGCCTTCAGCAGATGTTTTCTGCTCATACACAATACTTAAGTAATTTATTTTAAATATATAAAGGGTGTTTTATACGTAAATGTAATAAACAATTGCAAATCAAACTTGTGAAAATAATGTATCCTTTAAATGTATTCTCGGATTGTTGAAAGGGTTGGAAAATATGGCTTTTTCTTTTTCATATCGAAATGTTTTAGGACAATGGTTTTGTGCAGATATCTGACTTTTCATTAGTGTTGTAAAATGAATCACTTTTATTTTATTTATTTTATTTTTTATTTTATAAAACGCATGACAAAAAAACAAGCCCAACACATTTTAACTCAAGTTTTTTGTGCTTAGGTTTCTTTAGTTTTTCTTTTTGTACATGGCCATTATCATTATGCACATTACAATTGGGCCTATGTTCTGGTAATCTACTTTACCTAGCCCAGTGTTTCTCAAGGTGGGGCCCAGGGCTGCCAACCATGGGCGTCGCCTGGGGTAGGCATCCGGGGCTTTAGCCCCGGATGTTTTTTCTTTAGCCCCGGACAACTTCTCCCTCAATAATATAATACATTAACCTACTTTACCTATAGGACAGACGGCAGGAATGTAATTTCCCATGTTCAGTGAATGCAACACAGAGGCAAGACGACGCCACCAGACCAATCAGAGAGTTGCATGGAAATAAACGTGTTTTATTGGCTGACAGGTACGTACCTCTCCTCTGTGACAATGTTTAAACTTTAAACTGTCAGCCCCGGACGCGGAGATTCTGAAGATGGACATTAGACATTTCTTTAATAAAAAAGACGGCAATTCTCAGGTGGTGGCTCACACAACAACCCCAGAGCCACCACCTGAGCCAGGTGAACAAGGTATGTACCTGTCAGTAAACTTACAAGTTATGCGAACATGTAAGCAAAGCATAAATTATAGCTACGTTGACGTTACTTTGAATCGCGCGGGTAAGCTAAACCGTTAGCAAGTAGCTATAGCTAGCCAGATATATTAAATAAACACTTTGTCATACAATCTAAATGTTGTGTTTTTTAGCGTTACTTGGTGATTTCAAAGAAAGCTCTCTGGGAAATGTTGACTTACTGTTCGACATGAAGCTAGAAGCTACCTTACAGTACACAGTTGATCCTGATTCCGGAGTCCTGTCAGTTAAAGTGTTTCATAGTTAGCTTAGCTTAGCATCAACCTAGCACTGAAATATATGGATGTTATGTGACAGTATTTCTGAGGAAAAGTCAGCTGAAATGGTGGCATAGTTGCCATTGCTTTACGTGTCGACAGCATGTTTGAACGTATTTGCAGCAGTAAATGTGGCTGTCTGGCCACTGACGTTGCCATAACAACACCTGCATTTAAATGTGCAACCTCTTTTTGAGACAGATTTTGCATGAAAATATAATTCTTCTGATTGATATTCCTATTGACAGCTAGTTTCTATGTGAACATTATGAGATGGACAGCCAGCTAACAAGCTTTATATACAAATATTTCAGATCAAAGCTAATCCAGTGGGGCTCCTGAAAGGGGGCAAGGGACACTATGCTCCCAAATATTAAGCCTTGACCCGCATCTTAAAATTGATATGATCAAAAAATGATCTGCATTGTCGAAGGCCTTTTTTCCTCATTATCATGTCAAATTGTACAGCTTTCCTTAGTGTTGAATGCAGAAAGAGGACTATATTAGAGTATTAAGTGAAAATGACTATATTAAAGTTTTAAGTAAATGTATTAAGTGAATTACTCAAACTGCATTTGTATAGGAATGATTCTGTCCTATTGGCAGATAACTACTCTAAACAGTGATATCTACAAGAGGTTTCCAATGTAAATGTAACTATTTTCAATTGGTTAGTATTACATTGTGTGACAGTGTGGTGACACTCATTTGAATGAAGACACATGTGTGTATCTTGAAATTCATTTATTTGACAGAGCTGGAAACTGATTGACTTACATACTTGTTTGTGTTTACCCACAGTCATCACAGATGAGCCAAACAGAGTAGAGGATGAAGAAAGGGGAACAGGAGAAAGGGACACACAAGAAGGAGATACAACAGACAAGAACGACAATGGAGACAACAATGAACAGGAACACCAGAACAGACAAGAGTCAATGAGTAACATGACTGATTTAGGGACTGCAGATACAGGGCCAAGGCAAGTGAGACACCACTGCTTTCCATCCAGCATGTTTGGCCAGCAAAAGAGATCATTTCAACCGCAAACAGCAAGTGATGAGGGATTATTATTTCCTCCTTCCATCCCTGTTTTCTGTTTAATCTGATTACTAACTACTTCTAATAATTTGACATAGTTTATGATTTAATTGGAAAATGAAGTGTGTTTAAATAATAAACCCGTTTCTGATTCTTTGATTTCTTTTTGACATATGGGTGTTGAGAGATGTATCCATATCTCTTAATGTTGCTCTCAAAGTGCACGAGATTGATGCTTTTGACTTCAGTATTTAAAAAAAGTCTTCCTGGGGGAGCATGGCCCGGCCCCCCCAGAGGAGGTGAGTTCCCCCCAAAATAGCACTTTATCTCTGCCTATGTAACTCCGGTGTAGTGTCCCCTCGGCAACAGATCACTCAGAGCTGGTGATTACTTTCCTGCATTTCAATGGACAGCATATAAAAAGGACACGTGAGCTGCATTGCTTAAGAGATCCTCTCATGCTATCTCTTTTACAAAATAACAACAAAACAAAACCTCAGTGATCGTATAGTGGTAGTATATTTTTCACAAGCAATGTGAAACATTAAACTTATACAAACTGGTGTACAAAACTCACATACCTGCGTTGATCTCCTGGAGTGTCTCTACTCTTTCTTCTCCACATCTCTTTCCACCATCAGAGATTGCAAACATTTCAGAAACAGCTAGAGGTAGGGGACAAACAACTTGTTCGCTGGGCATGTCAAAAAACCTCCCTGCTTTGATCAAGACTTTAGGGAGCCTTTAGCCCCTCTAGCAAAGCGACTGGAAAGCAAGCTGTGAAAATGCAGTACCATCTACATGTTCCAGACACTGCTCTCAACCACTCAGGGCCTGCTTGAATACCTGCAGAAAGAAACAATTGACTTGGTGCAGGCAGTAGATTACAAAACAGCAGTTGAGAACACACTGAAAAGTTACCGAAGTAACGAGAAAGCACATGAGGTCTATGACAAGACCAAGGCCCTGTGCAATGATCTTGATATTCCCGAAACTGTGACGCAGAGGAAGAAGCGTAGAAACATGGAAGACTTTGTAGTCAAGGCATCATGTGGAGCAATGTGAAACATTAAACATAAATAAACTGGTGTATAAAACTCGCATACCTGCATTTCAATGGACAGCATAAAAGGACTCTGAGCTGGGTTCTGGTGCTCAGATTAGATATTGATGATCACGTTGATAAATCATATAAAACAAATAGCCAATCTCACAAAAAACATGTTGCTGTGACTGTGAGCATTAAACAATTAAGATTAAACTAAACAAACACAACAGTACGTTATTGTCCTTATAAAATAAAAACATACATTTTGTCCACCGAGATAATACAGGCACCTTACCCTCAAGAGATCCTCACGTGCTATGAGAATCTCCCACAATGCATTGCAGTAACAAAGCTAATGCAGGCACACGTTTGTGACACCAGATGGCGCAATTGTGTATGTGCGTGTGGGGAGTCTTGCAGTAGAACATTTGACTGTAGCGCCGCCACTGTGGGCTAAGCCCCGAATGTTTCCAGGTCCAGGCGACGCCCCTGCTGCCAACACTCACACATTGAGCGTGCGTCACGCAATTATCCTATATCTCACGCACTCACGCCACACTTGCATTTCCTCACGCTAAGTTTTCGTCCAAAATAAATAAATATAAAAATAAAGTGAAGGAACAGCAAACCGAGCGGTCAACGAAATGAGACGGTCCTCTGGCTTAGTTCAGTAAAGTTGGAACGATATTGGGAGATTCTGATTTCACGGACCAATAACTCATGAACAAAACGTTATTCAGGCACAAATGACGTCTCCTAAGTACTCGCTAGAAATCTAATCAAAAAGCGTTGTAATGGACAAACTATCCTACAATTTAGGATTTTCGAGAGGGTTATTTGTGAATAAACGACCCTCTGTAACATTTGCATTCAACGGGAGCACTAGAGGCCGACAACTTTAAAACGTAATTATAGATCGTATTAAGCGCTTGAACAAACGACATATTTGGTCGTAATAAGGGCTTGAACAATCGACCCATTTGGTCGTATGAGTTGGAGGACTTGTTGAGTGGTAAGGTTGACAACGAACTACAATCACATTTTGATCAAAAAAGCAAATAAGCGCCGTCCTCCGAGCTGGAGGCTCCCACAGGATTGTAGTTGACATTGTCATAGTATTGTTAACTGACTACAAGGGGAGTTGTCATATACGTTACGGCATGTTTACGACAGTTACAGTAAGTGGGGGTGGCGCGAGAGTACCACCGGAGGGAGCAATAAAGCGTCCTGTTAAATAACCAAGTGTTCCGTTGTCTGTTAATATCCAAGATATTACATGGTGTCAGAAGTGGTCGAGGATGGCAAAGTTTCAACCACCAGAGAGTTTTTGTTTCGAGAAACCCGCCGAATGGTCAGACTGGAAGAAACGGTTTACACGGTACAGGACAGCTACTAAGTTGGACAAAGAAGGAGGTCCAGTTCAAGCAAGCACGCTGGTGTATGCGCTCGAGAAGGAAGCAGAGAACATTCTCAGCTCTTTTACCTAAGGGGAAGAGGAAAATGAGTCGCAGTATGATGTTGTACTGGCGAAATTCGACGCATATTTCATCCCGAGACGCAACGTTATACATGAACGGGCATGTTTCAACCAGAGAGTGCAGCGTGCGGGAGAGCGCGCAGAGACATTCATCCGCGCACTATATGAGCTGTCGGAACGGCTCGTGAGTAAAACATAAGAGACAGAATTGTGGTGGGAATTCTAGACAAGGATCTGTCTCAGAGGCTACAGCTGATCCCTAACCTCACTCTGGAGATGACGGTACAAGAGGCGCGTCAATCAGAGGAGGTAAAAGCTCAAGTTAACCAGCAGGGGGAGCGGTCTTACACCGTGCAGGAAGTAGCACAACGGCATAGCAGAGGTGCAACACAGAAGTGGCGGCACCCACAGAGAGAGAGGCGCCAGGAGAGAGAGAGTGAGAATGACCACAGGAAGTGCTGGCGGTGCGGCAAAATGCCACACAGCCAGCAGGATGACTGCCCAGCAAGGAGGTCTACTTGCAATAATTGTGGGAAAAGTGGACACTGGGAAAGGGTGTGCAAGAGCAAGCAGGTGAGAGAAGTGACTGAGGGTGAGGGATCAGAAGATGGACAGTATTATTATCTGGGCTCAGTTAATAGCATGCCTCACAATGATAATGAATGGACAGTCACATTAGAGATTGGCAGCTCACCTGTATAATTTAAAATAGATACTGGAGCCAATTGTAGTATCATAAGTGAAACTGTGTACAAAACACTGGAGCCAAAAAGGGTTCTACAGAGGCCAAAGAAGGTGCTGAGTGGTCCCGGGGGTGGATTAAACTGTTTAGGGCAGTTTATAACTCAGACCAGCTACAAGGGAAAAACATACACATGCAGGCTCTATGTCATTAGAGGGCCTACTCAGCAGGCCAGTAGCTGTAGCTATGGGGTTAGTAAAGCGAGTGGGCGAGGTCAACACCAATGAACAGGAGTTTGGCCTACTAAAAACACAGCCTGTGAAGATAGCTCTAAAGGACAATAACCAGCCATATGCCGTATGCACAGCACGCCGGGTCCCCATACCGCTCCTGGTGCAGTGAAAGAGGAGTTGGAGAGGATGGAAGCCAACGACATAATTGAAGCCGTGACTGACCCAACAGAGTGGTGCGCACCCATGGTGCCAGTCCAGAAAAAGTCTGGAAAAACACGCATCTGTGTGGACTTAAAGAAGCTTAATAAGGCTGTCAAAAGGGAGAGATTCATCTTGCCGACATCAGAGGGGATGATAGCTCAGCTCAGCGGCTCCACAGTCTTCTCATCACTTGACGCAGCGTCAGGGTTCTGGCAGATCCCACTGGACAAAGACAGCCAGAGGTTGACCACCTTCATCACGCCGTACGGAAGGTACTGTTTTAAACGTCTTCCCTTTGGGATAAGCAGCGCACCTGAGATATTTCAGAGGAAGATGGTAGAGACGCTGGAAGGGCTGGATGGCGTTGCCGTCTACATGGACGACATCATCATCCATGGCAGCAACACCAGCGAACATGATGAGCGGCTGCAGAAGGTTCTGGATCGGCTGGAGTCTGCAGGCCTGAAGATGAACAATGAGAAGTGTGTGCTGAGAAAGGAGGAGCTGCACTTCCTGGGTCAGGTGATCAACAAAGATGGTGTACGACCCGACCCGGCCAAAGTGTCTGCAGTCAGCAAACTTGAACCACCAGAAAACGTGCAGGAACTAAAGAGAGCACTCTGCATGATCAACTACCTGGGGAAATATATTCCAGACCTCGCCACAGTGGGCCAGCCACTATATGCACTGTTAAAAGCAGACTCAGTGTGGATGTGGGGTCCGGCGCAACAAGCAGCCTTTGAGCGAGTTAAAGAGCTCCTCACAACGTCACCTACCCTGGTGTACTATGATGTTAACAGGAGCACAGTGGTCTCAGCAGACGCAAGGAGTTATGGGATAGGCGGTGTCCTGCTGCAGCTCCATGGCGAGGACTGGAGACCGGTAGCATACTGCTCAAGGCGACTGAGCGACGCTGAAACCAGGTACGCTCAGATAGAGAAGGAGTGCCTGGCGAGCGTGTGGGCGTGTGAGAGGTTTCAGATGTATCTCTACGGCCTACCAGCATTCAAACTGATTACGGATCACAAACCCCTCATCCCACTGATGAACTCCAGGGATCTCGACAATGTGGCACTCCGCTGCCAGCGACTCCTCATGCGGTTGATGAGGTTCAACCCGGAGGCTGAGTATGCGCCGGGGAAAACCCTGGTGGTGGCAGACACACTGTCCAGGAGCCCACAGGAAGACAATGAGCTCAGTAGAGACACAGACGTGGAGTGTTACGTAGCAGCTGTGATGAGCAGCATTCCAGCATCGCCGAAAAAGATAGACAGCATCCGCGCTGAGACGGCAGCGGACGAGCAGCTCCAAGAAGTGATCAGGTACATACAAGAGGGGTGGCCTGAACACCTAGCACACATAAACACCTGTGTTAGGGAGTACTTTCCTGTTAGGAACGAACTGTCTATGCATGATGGGGTAGTGACCAGAGGGAGTAGAATAGTGATACCAGGGAGATTGAGGTCAGAGATACTAGAACGCATACATGAGGGCCATCAAGGTCTTAACAAGTGTAGAGACAGGGCCAACACTTCGGTGTGGTGGCCTGGCATAGCCACACAGATCACACACAAAGTCGAGAACTGCATGTACTGTCGTGAGCAGAGGAGACCACAGAACAGAGAGCCTCTCCTGTCAACACCTCTCCCAGACAGGCCGTGGAAGAGAATTGGCATAGATTTATGTGAACATGAGAGAGAGAGTTACCTAGTCATAGCTGACTACTACTCTAGATACCTGGAGATACTCCACATGCCTACCACGACTAGTGCACATGTGATCTTGAAGCTGAGAGCCACGTTTGCCCGGCACGGAATACCGGAGGAGGTTGTCAGTGACAACGTACCGCAGTTCAGCAGCGATGTCTTCAGAGGCTTTGCCTGTGACATGGACTTTAAGCACACAACCTCTAGTCCCCACAACCCACAAGGAAACGGTTATGCTGAACGTGCAGTCCAAACGGCAAAGGGGATTCTGAGACAAAAGGACCCTCTACTTGCTTTAATGGTTTACCGTTCTTCTCCACACAGCAGTACGGGTGTCAGTCCGGCAGAGCTCCTAATGGGCAGGAAAATCAGGACGACGCTGCCCACTCTGGCCAAGAACCTGCAACCAAAGTGGCCGAGCAGACATCACATCAGAGCTCGAGATGCTGCGGAGAAGAGCAAACAGGCCTTCTACTATAACAAGCGCCATGGCGTGAGAGCTCATACCACTGCAGCGAGGAGACCATGTTCTCACCAGACTGGACAATCAAAAGACCTGGTCCACACCTGCAGTAGTGGCAGGTGAGAGTGTTACACAGAGGTCTTATCTCATCGAGACGGAGCAGGGTGCTCTGTACAGACGTAACCGTCGACATCTCCAAGCGGTGCCCGTAGCGGGGCCTCCAGCGAACGACGACACAAATCCCAGGAATAAGGCAAGGCAAGGCAAGGCAAGGCAAGTTTATTTATATAGCACTTTTCAACACAAGGCAATTCAAAGTGCTTTACAAAAAATGAAAGAGATTAAGAAAATGGCATTTAAAATCAGTCATTAAAAAGAAAAGCTAATAAAATAAACATTAAAAGAAAAAATACATGGATAAAAGTTACAGTGCAATTAAACATTAAAAGAAAAAAGTACATGGATAAAAGTTACAGTGCAGTCTAAGATATGAATAGTTCAATTAAAAGCAGCGACAAAAAGAAAAGTCTTCAGCCTGGATTTAAAAGTAGTAAGAGTTGCAGCGGACCTGCAGGTTTCTGGGAGTTTGTTCCAGGTATTTGGAGCATAATAACTGAACGCTGCTTTACCATGTTTAGTTCTGACTCTGGGGACAGAAAGCTGACCAGTCCCTGAAGACCTGAGAGATCTGGATGGTTCATAATTTAGCAGGAGGTCAGAAATATATTTTGGGCCTAAACCATTCAGTGCTTTATAAACCAGCAGCAGTATTTTGAAATCTATTCTGTGACACACAGGAAGCCAGTGTAAAGACTTCAGAATAGGAGTGATGTGATCCACTTTCTTAGTGTTAGTGAGGACTCGAGCAGCAGCGTTCTGAATTAGCTGCAGCTTCCTAATAGATTTTTTAGTGAGACCTGTGAAGACACCATTGCAGTAGTCGAGTCTACTGAAGATAAAAGCATGGACAAGTTTTTCCAAATCCTGCTGTGACATTAGTCTTTTAATCCTAGATATATTCTTTAGGTGATAGTAGGCTGATTTAGTAACTGTTTTAATGTGACTGTTGAAACTCAGGTCAGAGTCCATGACTACACCTAGATTTCTGGCTTTATCTGTTGTTTTGAACATTGCACACTGAAGCTCAGCGCTAACTTTTATACGTTCTGCCTTGGCTCCAAAAACCATTACCTCAGTTTTATCTTTGTTTAATTGGAGAAAGTTCTGACACATCCAGTCATTGATTTGTTCAATGCACTTACTCAGTGTTTGAATTGGAGCATAGTCTCCTGGTGAAATTGTTACGTAAATTTGTGTGTCATCTGCATAGCTATGGTAACTTATTTTGTTGTTCTTCATTATCTGAGCCAGTGGTAGCATGTAGATGTTAAAGAGAAGAGGCCCCAAGATGGAGCCTTGAGGAACCCCACATGTCATATTTGTCAACTCAGATGTGTATTTACCTATAGAAACAAAGTTGTTTCTGTCCTTTAAGTAGGATTCAAACCAATTCAGAACTGTTTCCGAAAGTCCCACCCAGTTCTCCAGTCGGTCTAGTAATATGCTGTGGTCAACAGTGTCAAACGCAGCACTGAGATCTAATAATACTAACACTGAAGTTCTGCCACTGTCTGTGTTTAAGTGGATGTCATTAAAGACCTTTACAAGAGCAGTCTCAGTGCTGTGGTTTGGACGAAAGCCTGACTGGAACACATCAAAACAGTTATTTAAATGCAAGAAATTACTCAACTGTTGAAAAACAACTTTTTCAATGATTTTACCTAGAAATGGGAGGTTTGATATGGGCCTGTAATTGTTCATTACTGAAGCATCTAGATTATTCTTTTTTAAGAGCGGTTTAATGACTGCAGTTTTCAGGGCCTGTGGAAAAATACCTGAGTGAAGAGATTTGTTTACTATATGAAGTAGATCTGAGGCCATGCAAGGCAAAACATCTTTGAAAAATCCTGTTGGAATAATATCAAGGCAGCAAGAGGAGGATTTCAGAAGTTGAATAATGTCCTCTAGGTTTTTATCATTAATCTGATGGAATTGTGTCATGATGTCTGAATTGATGTTAAGTGGAGATAGGGACAACACATTTGCTGTTCCTGATGCAGAGGCACTGACTGCTTGTCTGATTTTCTGAATTTTGTCAGTGAAAATAACACACCAGACATTCAGATGAGCCCAGAACATGGCTCGCCTGGTCCAACAAGGAACACTGATGGACTGATCCAAACCAGGTCTGGTAGACCTGTTAGACTTGTCCAGAGACTTGACCTGTGAGGGGACAGTTCAATAATAAAATAAAAAGGGTGTTGATATTGGAAAAAAAAGGGGAGATGTCATAGTTATTGATGTGTTGATATTGTTAAAGAAAAGATATCTAAGTTATTGATATGTGTTGATATTGTTAAAAGGGAAAAAGGGAGATGTCATAGTATTGTTAACTGACTACAAGGGGAGTTGTCATATACGTTACGGCATGTTTACGACAGTTACAGTAAGTGGGGGTGGCGCGAGAGTACCACCGGAGGGAGCAATAAAGCGTCCTGTTAAATAACCAAGTGTTCCGTTGTCTGTTAATATACAAGATATTACAGACATCTTCGTAGATTCATCTTCTAATTACAGACACATGCATTTCCTAACATTTTGACTACCTATGCTGTAAAATGTATTATCTCTTCAATTTACACACGGCATCTATTGCACGTCTGTCCGTCCTGGGAGAGGGATCCCTCCCTCCTGTTGCTCTCCCTGAGGTTTCTCCCATTTTTTCCCTTTAAACTGTGGGTTTTCTCCGGAAGTTTTTCCTTGTACGATGTGAGGGTCTAAGGATAGAGGGTGTCGTTTTTTTTCTCATACTGATATTCGGAACAATCTGTGCTATTGTATTAGCTGTAAAGTGTCTCTACTGTAGGCTATTTTTATTATATGTACAGCACTTTGGCTCGACCAAAAATTGTTTATAAATGTGCTATATAAATAAAACTTGATTTGATTTGGACACATTACATTGGTCTCTATCCGCAGCCGGAGAAAAAACGAGTGCTCAGGAACCGTCTGCAAAGTGCAACTCCAAAAAAAGAGAATACAATAATATTCAATCACTATTATACAGCTTATTACTACCAAACTCACCACACACATTAATAGTCTCCTGGTGGTCATACTACATCAAGGAGTTTGGAAGAATATGCTTTTGAATAATTTTGGGGAATATTTATAATGTAAATCTTCAATAACTATGGCATCATCTTAAATAACTTTACTATTATACAGTATATTTCAACCAAACTCACTATTTGCATTGTTGTTGTTAGCATCTGGTTAGCTAGCTGCGCTAACGGATATTAGAAACTGTTTCTCAAACAATGAGAGGGAGAGCTCTCTCCTGTCAGACTGAGAGAGATAACTACAGCTCAGTGAGGTAAGGGACTCTGTTTAGATAGTTAACTTTAGTCTAGTTATCTCAGTGGGTCTCAAACGTTTTGGTCACCATTTATGAGAATACATGAAAAACAGTTATGAAATATGACAGTAAAACAAGAATACAGTTTAAAAGGGGAGTGATTTGTAAAATATCCATAAAGAAAAAGAAAATCTGTAGCCTACAGTTCTGTTTCATATGGGTGTTGAGAGATGTATCCTTTGGAGGTGCACCTCCAAATCTGAGGCCATGGTTCTCAGCAGGAAACCGATGGACTGTCCACTTCAAGTAGGGAATGAGTCCTTACCCCAAGTGAAGGAGTTCAAGTATCTCGGGGTCTTGTTCTCGAGTGAGGGAACAATGGAGCGTGAGATGGGCCGGAGAATCGGAGCAGCGGGAGCGGTACTGCAGTCGCTTTACCGCACCGTTGTGACGAAAAGGGAGCTGAGCCAGAAGGCAAAGCTCTCGGTCTTCCGGGCCATTTTCGTTCCTACCCTCACCTATGGTCATGAAGGATGGGTCATGACCGAAAGAACGAGATCGCGGATACAAGCGGCCGAGATGGGTTTTCTCCGCAGGGTGGCTGGTGTCTCCCTTAGGGATAAGGTGAGAAGTTCGGTCATCAGGGAGGGACTCGGAGTTGAGCCGCTCCTCCTTCGCGTTGAAAGGAGCCAGTTGAGGTGGTTCGGGCACCTAGTTAGGATGCCACCTGGGCGCCTCCCTAGGGAGGTGTTGCAGGCACGTCCAGCTGGGAAGAGACCAAGGGGTAGACCTAGGACCAGGTGGAGGGATTATATCTCTTTGCTGGCCTGGGAGCGCCTTGGGATCCCCCAGTCAGAGCTGGTTGATGTCGCCAGGGAAAAGAAAGTTTGGGGCTCTCTGCTGGAACTGCTACCCCCGCGACCCGACCACGGATAAGCGGGAGAAGATGGATGGATGGATGGAGATGTATCCTTAAATTAATTTTGCTCTCAAAATGCACCAGGTTGATGCATTTAACTTCAATATTTAAAAAAATGCCCCCGGACCCCCCGGAGGTGAGGACTCCCCCCACTTATATAATAACACTTTACCTCTGCTTACACCTATATGCCATTTTATATGCTGTGAGCTGATTATCGCAACCTGATCTCACCAGAATGCGTGACTCCACCACGACTCCTTAACACCGTATTGCGTGGTGGAGTCACGCATTCTGCTACATTTGCGTGTCGGCACCATGCAAAAAAACCCAATGTAAAGTGAATGAGGCTCTTTTGTCGTGGTGCACACACGCATTTCTACAACGTCCCACAGTGAGCTTTTATTCTATAAAACGTTTTTAAAATCTACTTTATAGCTTGTAGTAACTCACGGGAGGCTTCTTTTATTTTATTTGTATTCATAATCATCTTTATTTTTCGTCAGAATGTAAAAATTACATTAGTTACGATTACGAATTTTTGTTCTAAAAAAACAGTGCATTGTGTGTAATACAACTGTGATTTTTATTAAATTAGTTAGTTTTTAAGGAAGGCCAGAGCTTCAGCTGTGTCAAATAGATTGTTCCCTTTAGTTAACGTTATTTAAAAGATAATGATCATGTCCCCTTTATTGTATTACGAGCGTCCATTCCCATTGGATAACGGAGAATTTTACACCCAGAAGTGAGTATTCTCCTTACTGTCGATTGATTTTACAGTGATAT